ATTAGAATCACTGGGAGTGCTTTTAAATCCTGCCCTCAGAGTGTGTGATTCAATAGGTCTGAGATGGGGCAAGAGAATGTGTATTTTTAACAAGTTCCCAGATGATTGTGGCACTGATGCTGCTGGTCCTGGACCATATTCTGGGACCACTGCCCTAAGGTCAAGTCAGTGAAACTATTGCTCATAGCCACTTCTTACAGATAAAACATCACTCACCAGTAGCTACTGCTGATGAGTTATCTCTGTGCTATTAGCCCCCTATTAAAAAAATAAGCCCTGGTAGCTATGATACAAACCTGCATCTACAAAGGACATAAGCTGCTGGAACCTGCCATACTCTCCCCAGCCTTTTCTCATTCTGGGGTTGGACTTCGCCCCAAAGAGACACAACTCAATTGGTGCGGAGGGTGGTAACGGTGGCCAGCAGCTGCCTATGCTCATTCCTACTGGGTCGTCACCTTGGTATGGACTGGGGGAATTTATGTCTATATGCACATTTGTGGGTACAGACAGACACAGAGAGAAATCAGTCCTGTACTATAAGAGGGATGACTACAGGCGTGGGAGGCTGTAGTGGGGTGGAGGGGGTCCTTTCATCTGCTTTAGAATACTTACCTTTCCTGTTCTTCCAGATGCCCTCACCCCCGTCAAATGTAAGTGTAAAGAAAGCAGAAAGGGCATATCAACAAGGCATATGTGATATAGTTAGGAAGACTGGAATCTAAAGAGACTGGTTATGAAATTAAAAAAAAGAAATAACATTTCTTTCCTGTGTATACAATGTACAGCATTAATGGAAAACTAATGATTTGGGGATGGGAAGGAGCTGATGAAAAAAGGAGAAAACTGGCGGGGACAGCTGTCTCGGGGGCTAGCACCTTTAGGAGCCTCTCAGTGTGGAGCAGGGGAGCCCCAGAAACCTCAGGAATAATTTTTTGGTGTCTGTTTGGTGGTTCAGGCTGTACATAGTGCACAGTTGGGGTCAAGACTCCATCTACCAGGATGGGTGGTGCCAGAAAGCAGTGAATCAAGAAAGGAACAGAACATGTGACAGAGGTCATATGTAAAACAACAACAAAAAAGGAACAGAACAGGGAGAGCGGAGTGAACGAGATGAGGTTCAGTTAGCCCAGTCCCTCTTCACCACTACTTGAAGTACATGGTCTAAGCTTAGGGCCAAGGAGAGAGGTGAAGGCTTAGGAAGTCAGATTTGGGGTGCATAACCAGCAGCAAAAAGAGTAAGTAAAGGGGGTATGACTTTTTTTCGGCCTCTCTAGTAGTGTGGGAGGCTTTCTTAGACTTTTCAACTCTAAGCAAGCTTTCTGTTAGGGGAATGGGGCAGAGAGTGAGCAGACCAGAGGACCTGGTTCTGGCCCCTTCCTCTGTGGCCTTGGGTACGTGGCAGCTAGCTAGGGTGCTTATTACGTATCTGGCACTCACACTGGAGTGGGTGGGAAGCCTGAGTCCTGTATTCACTGAATTCAGGACACCCACCATACATTCAGCTCCTTTCCGAACGTGTCCTCTCTTAGGCCTCTAGAAAGGCCATGGACCTTAGGAAGGGCCAAGTGACACCTTCCATGATGTTTGGTTCTGGTCCAGATAAGTCTGGAAGACAAAGATTGGGGGAGTGATCACATGGCTGGTAGCAATAACAAGGCGAGTGACTTCACCTTTGACTATCAGGGAAGCTTCAGGGTAAGCAATTGTTCTGCCTCCTTAGTGAGACTGAGAACCAACTCAAGAGCTATGTCGGGACTCTGACCTGCTGCTTCCTTATTTTAGTGCCATTTCGTTACTGTTTCGTTACTGTGGTTCTGACATTGCTCCTTGTTTAGGTCCCATATGCAAACTTCCCACTGATAAAAATGAAGTTAGGACTAGATAATTAGTCATGGGGGCTAAGAACTAAAAAAGACCCTCACATAAATTAGCCACTCAACATAAGGACAGACTGGCAGGGCATGTATGCAGTGACAAACTGATTCTTAACTTTAAAAACACTTGACTGAAGGGGGAGAAAAATAGTCAAGAGTCTTAGGAAAGCTCCTTAGGAGCCATAAACTCAGTCAAGCCGTAGAGCAAGGCTGCTACTGGGAAATCAAGACAATAAAAAGATGAAACAAAACTCTAAAGCAGGAGAAAAATCCCAGGGAGCAGCTATCCAAAGAAGTCCTGAGCACAAGTTATGGCTGTGAATTTTTAAAGGCAAAAGTGAAGTCCCTGGAGGTGGAAACCTGCATCCTGACCATCTGTCATAACATTTGCTAGTCTGAGTCACTTTAGGGGCTATTCCAGTTAGGTACCTGGTGGTAGAGGATGAGAAAACCATGTTTTCTCTCCTTTGTCTTTAGGGGTGTGGCCTGTTCAGCACCAGCCCTGAAAAGCAGGAGGGGAAATTTAAAACAAACGCAGCAGAACATGTTACCTGACTGGTTCACTAGGATAGGATATCACTTTAAGGATATGGGAATCTTGTGGCTTAGAACGTTTTCTCATTCCCCTGTGACAGTCAATTTTGGAGACAAAATAAGAAAGGAAGCTGGCAGTCATTTTGTACGTACGTTTAAGATGGAGGTAGGAAAGATGGCGAGAAGGACATTCTTGGCTTGCACAGATGGCAGAAGGTGGCTCTGGGACAACTGGAAGGGTTTCACACGGAGAGGCTATTAAAGCTGACCTGTCTATCCACAGGCCTCTGGCTCTGAATTGCTTCCTATGGTCCTGGTGGAAACTGCAGAGTTCAGAGCCAAGGGGGGATGAGAAGCTTTCATGTGGAAGAAAGAGGGACAAGAGGGATGAACTGCTCCCCCTGCAACCCAACTCTTCAAAGTAAGAATGGCGGAAAGCAATAGTCACCAATTTCCCAGGCCAGACTCTGGGGTCCTTTGCTGGGAACAGTTCTGTACTTTCCCTCTTCCCTTCGTCCCTCCTTTCAATCTTATACTCAAGTCAATCCACTCAGGACCTTGGCTATGATGCTTCAAGATCCTGGAGCATTGCACATAGGGGAAGAGAGCAGAAATGGGTTGAAGAAACTCTAGAGGACCTGGAAGACCTAGTGGCTCAGCTAGGAACCTGGTGAAAGAGAAAGAAGGTAGTCCAGATGGTGACGGGCACTTGTGAACAGAAGACTCTAGTTCAGAAAAGACGACAGATGTATGAGGGGGAGACATGGGGTACAAGTCCTCTATATGACAGCCTCCAGGAGGGCTGTGTCTGAAGTAGTTACAGAAGAGAGGCAGAGGCGGTAATGCTGATGGGAATGAAGAGGCAGAGGCAGGAGCAGAAAGATGACAAAAGATAACAATATGTACGCTTTGGCCGGTAAACTCTTATAAAACATAAAGGAATCAATTAATCCCTAACCTGATGGAACAAGCCTTGAACTGCTTTGTTCCTGTCTGCCCTGATGATTAAAACTGAAGGGAGAGGGAGGGGAGGAGACAGAATCGGCCAGTCAGATCCTGGGCCCTTCCCTTTTCACTACCAAGCAATCTTTAATAATAAGGCCACAAAATGAGGTTGCCAAGGACTAGTGGGGTGGTGGTAAAGACCTCACCACTACACTAGATAAAGTCAAGTGACAAAATGAGGTACCCAAATAGCTCTGGAAATAGATGAAAAAGAATTAGAATTCTTGAGGGTTTTTTTCTTTTTGCTTTTTTTTTTTTTTTTGGGTGGCAGGTAGGGAGAAGGAATAAAGCTTATGGAAGAACTGGGAAATACTGCTGCTTCATACATCAAAGGTAACCTCACATTCTCCATAAGTAAATGTTTTAACTAGAATTAAGGAAGGGAAAAAGGAAATGGGTAAAGAAGCAGCAGTGGGAGACAGAGTCCTGAGTCCACTGGGTGGCTGGGGCTGGGTCAGTGGGTGATATGCCATCAAATCTAGCCTCCCTCTATCTGGCAGGAAGTGGCATGCTGGTAAGGAACAAAAAGGTAACAGCCACGGCTTAGTGGGAAAAGAGGGAGCTGAGAAACCCCAAACCTAGAAGTGCCAAGGGTTAGTGTTAAAAGAGACAGATACACGTGCATGGGGCAGGGGTGATTGTTCGGACCATCTGGAAAGGCCTTTGGCTGTGGGTGCATCAGAAACCCCACCCTTGGGGATGATCTATGAGGCTCTGGGGCTGGGAGGCCCCCAGTACAGGTGTCAAACATACATGACCATGTGGCTAAAAAGCCTAAAAAGCCCCATATCTGTCCATTACTCACAACACACAATTCCCCCCCACCGCATATTGCCATGTCCAAGGCAGATGGGAGGGCGTAAGATGACATTTCTCTTGGCTCTTGGGTGGCGAGCTCTGGCTGGGAACCTCTTCACCAGAGGAGGCATCATCTGCCCGCAGACTGGGACTGTGGGGTCATGATCACATGCGATTGTATCGGCATGCTCAGTTCTGTCCTTTGGCTGGCCATCTGAGTGAGGACCGAGGTGGCCACAGCTTCAGCTGCAGAGCGAACACTGAGGCCATTGCTAGGGGCTGTTGCTGAGCTGTGCTGAATCACAGGGGCTGGAGAACCCGTTGGCTCTGAGCTTTCCTTGGGGCTTTCTGCCAGGAAGGAGGGCAAAGAGCAGAGAACAATTGGTTAGAATAACAGGATGGGGAAAGAGGCATGACTACCTTTTGCCATAGTTCTAAAGAAGCCCAAAGGGGAAATGAAACTCATCTTTTTTTGGGGGGAAGCTTCCCAGAATCCTGGCTTCAAAGTCATAAATGGCCTAGGAAATGGGAAGTTTGTAAGAAGGGAAGAACTGGCCAAAATCAACCTATATATCCCAATAAAATGAACCTCCAACATGATCATTACACTGTCTGGTTTCTAGGTCTTTGCATAGTTCGTTAGCCATATTTAGAACACTCATGGAACAACTCTTCTTCTTAGTCATTACTTTCTTTTTTTTTTTTTTTT